AGCAGTGCCCACAAGACTGGAAAAGGTCAATCCTCTTCCCAATTCCCAAGAAGGGTAGTGCCAAAGAATGTGCTAACCATCAGACAACTGCACTCATCTCTCATGCTAGTATGGTCATGCTTAAAATCTTTCATGCTAGGCTTCAGCATTATGAGAACCATGAACTTCCAGATGTCCAAGCTGGGTTTAGAAAAAGAAGAGGAACTAGAGATCAAATTGCCGACATTCACTGGATTATGGACGAAGCAAGGGAATTTCAGGAAAACATTTATTTCTGTTTCACTGACTACGCTAAAGCCTTTGACTGTATGGATCATGACAAACTGTAGAAAGCTCTTAGAGAGATGGGAATACCAGACCATCTTACCTGTCTCCTAAGAAACCTGTATGTGGGTCGAGAAGCAACAGTTAGAACCCTGTATGGAACAACTGATTGGTTCAAGAAAGAGAAAGGAGTATAACAGGGCTGTCTGCTGTTACCCTGTTTGTTTAACCTATACGCTGAGCACATCATGAGAAAAGACAGACTGGATGAGCTACAAGCTGGAATCAAGATAGGTGGGAGAAACATCAACAACCTCAGATATGAGGATGATACCACTCTAATGGCAGAAACTGAAGAGGAACTAAAGAGACTCCTGATGAGGGTAAAGGAAAAGAATGAAGGAGAAGGCTTAAGACTAAATATTTTAAAAAACTAAGATCATGGCATCTGGCCCCATTACTACACAGCAGATAGAAGGGGAAAAGTTGGAAGCAGTGACAGATTTCCACTTCTCGGGCTTTAAAATCACTGCGGATGGTGACTGCAGCCACGAAATCAGAAGACAATTGCTTCTTGGCAGGAAAGTGATGACAAACTTAAGACAGTGTGTTGAAAAGCAGAGACATTACTCTGCCAACAAAGGTCTGTATAGTCAAGGCTATGGTCTTCCCAGTGGTCATGTTCAGTTGTGAGAGATGGAGTGTAAAGAAGGCAGATGCCAAAGAATTGATGCCTTCAAACTGTGGTGCTGGAGAAGACTCCTGAGAGTCCTTTGGATAGCAAGATCAAACCAGTCAATCTTAAGGGAGATCAACCTGAATATTCACTGGAAGGACGGATGCTGAAGCTAAAGCTCCAGTATTTTGGTCATCTGATGTGAACAGATGACTCACTATAAAAGTCCCTGATGCTGAGAAAGACTGAGGGCAGAAGGAGAAGAGGGCGTCAGAAGATAACATGGCTGGACGGCATCACTGATGCAATGAACATGAACTTGGGCAAACTCCGGGAGATGGTGAGGGACAAGGAAGCCTGGCGTGCTGCAGTCAGTCCATGGGGCTGCAAAGAGTCAGGCATGACTGGGCAGCTGAACAACAACAACAAAGGCTTGTAGCACATCAGGAAACCTTCATGAAAGGTCAATTTTTAAACTGCCCTTGTGAGGTGTTATTAATGGATTTGGGCAAGCAGATGGAAGGACAGGCTGCAATACAGATATTGCTAATTAACAGCATTCTAGCAGGTACATGCTAACTGGGCACTTCCTATGCTGGAATCCACTCCCTTACCAAGTGGCTTTGATAAGAGAATGTGAGCCGGCTGTGAAGTTGTTTGCAGGGCCAACTTGCTCAGCCACTGCCCCATGCATGCAGGCAAACAGGTAGCTGGCAGGGCAGAGATGGAGCTTTTCAGACAGAAAACGCCCTTTCCACTTCCCCTTGCCTGAGTTTTGCAGTGAAATGATGGCAGAGACATAGCAACTGAGTCAGCAGTAATGTGGGAATTCTAGTTTCTGAAACTGACATACTTGGAAGAAAATGACTTAAATTTGTCTTTGAAATGGGGAGGGAGTCACCCTGAGGCTTCTTTGCAAAGGCCTTGGTATTGCTGGAATAAGACGAAGCCACCCAAACTGCCATGAGGAACCTAGGGGAGAAAAAGCCCAGGTTGGTGGGGGGCGGGGGAGGGTGGGAGATGATGCAGTGCCAGGCCTTCACACACACACACACATACACATACACACACACACACACACAGAGCGTGGCATGAGGACAAGGATCTGTCTGTTCCCCCTCCCTGCTCTGTGCAGGTCAGGGGCTGGAAGACTCCTGCTCTGTGTCGGGAGCACTCTGCAATGATTCAAGCTTTGACTAGCAAGCTTCCTGTCTCTGTTATGAGTCTGGATGGCCACATGGCTGGATGGTCACAAAGGGGCTTCCATCACACAGATGGGCTCCATCACACATGGACAAGCTTCCATCTGACCCTGACATCAACCAGATATGCTCAGCCTCATAACTGCGACAAGGCAGCACTGACTTCCCACGTGGCTGGGGCACGGGAGTCTATCACAGGCCTGTGAGTCTTGGTTTTTCTAAATTCTTCCCACATTCATTGTTTATGGCAGATATATTGGTTCTCCATCACTTGATATCCAGATGTCATACCTGACCGAACAATGCCCACATTCTATGGATGCTAAAAATGTTTTACATGACCCTGCCTGGTAGGATGTCTCAGAGGACCTGGCAGAACCCTCTCCCTTGTCGGGGGGACTCACCAGTCCTTGGACAGTTCCAGTGGGACAGGAAGATGAGACAATGGGCTGGGAGCCTAAAAATGCCCCAGATCAGCGGGGCTGGGGCCAGAGCTTGGAGGCTCCTGCAACCCACATAGAAGACTGACTGGACTCAGTGACGGCCACAGGAGGCCAGGCCAGTGCTCAGGCTGGGCAATGTGACATGTTGAAATAGAAGCTGTGTTTTAGAAATCAGCTAAACAGCAGAGAGACCAGCCTTGGCAGGAAGGCCAGCAAGGACATTGCTGATAACAATGATGTCTAAAGTGATGACACCATGAAATTGGAGAAAAGGGCAGATGAGTGTCATTAGAAGGGTCTAAATTCAGTGACAGAGACAGAGGAGTGAATGGAAGGGAATGAGAAGGAAACTTGAAAAGATGCCGCCAGCTTTACCAGTGATAACCCTTCAAAGAGCTTTAGCCGCATTTTTCAACTTTCACTTTCCCATGAGTTCTCGCCTCTGCTTAGCGCGGTACACAAGCATTTATAAAGGAAGCGCCATCTGCAAAGTCTGCACATGATGAGCAACTGGGGAATGTGCGTTACGTGGGCCTGAGTTCTCTGACCTCAGAGTGTAGGATCCTTTCCCCTGGGAAAGCAGACCGTGTCTGTGGCTCTCTGAAGTCCTTCCAAGATATGGGCTGCATATCAGCCATGACAGAGGAAATAAGAGGCTCTCTGAAAATCCTTTGTTAACAATCCTTCTGTTTAGAAATCACAACAGCTTGCTCTTTTGAGGCGACCCATCTGCCCACACATTTTCTAAAGGAAAGACAGGAGGAGAGCTTGACATTTGTACCCAGATAAGGTGAACAGTGGTGGAGAGTAAGTGTCTCGGGGCTCTTAGTTCCTGCCCTTGGTGAGATAAGAAACCGGTCAGAACACTCCCTGCCCTCAGAACCCGATTGCAGGGTCAGCTGTTGCTAACTCAGAGCTCAGTTGCAGGCCATTTGTTGCAAACCCCTCCGCAGTCTGTCCTCGTCACCGAGGGAGATGCCAGCTCTGAGAGTTTGAGACTGTCTGGAGGGCTGAATGATCCCACCTTTGCACAGAGAGCTGAAGGAACATGGAAAATGTGTGTGTGTTAGTTGCTCAGTCCTTTCAGACCAACCCCATGGGCCTCAGTCCTCGGCGACCCCATGGACTGTAGACTGCCAGGCACCTCCGTCCGTGGAATTCTCTAGGCAAGAATACTGGAGTGGGTAACCAATCCCTTCTCCAGGGGATCTTCCTGACCCAGGGATCGAACCTGTGTCTCCTGCATTGCAGGCAGATTCTTTACTGTCTGAGCCTAAAGTACTGGGAACTGAAGAAAAAGCAGGTGAAACCCTTTGTGCAAGTGAAACCTTTCATTCAGACTCAGCTTTTTGGTATCTTCTACCCCATCTCCCAGAGAAGGCAATGGCAACCCACTCCAGTACTCTGCCTGGAAAATCCCATGGACAGAGGAGCCTGGTGGGCTGCAGGCCATGGGGTCGCTAAGAGTTGGACACAACTGAGCGACTTCACTTTCACTTTTCACTTTCATGCATTGGAGAAGGAAATTGCAACCCACTCCAGTGTTCTTGCCTGGAGAATCCCAGGGACGGAGGAGCCTGGTGGGCTGCCGTCTACGGGGTTGCTCAGAGTCGGACACGACTGAAGCGACTTAGCAGCAGCAGCAGCAGCATCCCATCTCCCTGTGGGCAGGACTCCCCTTCTGGGGATGGGAGAGGCTAGGGAATCTCCCCCAACCTGGTAACAAACTCCAGAGGCACACGGGCCAGAGATGATGAGGGAGATCCTCAGAGGAGAGGCCCTGCTGGGTCCAGCTGAACCCCCACACAGCAAGTCTGTTTCCTTCTAATCAGCCAAGACTGGCTCCCAGGCCAGAAGAAATTAGATTAGTCTGACAAGATTTGGGCTGTCAGAAAGCACATTTTATTTTTACCCTCAAGCCTGTGATCTTCTAGGTGTCTGCAAATTGGGGAATTATTTTTACCCAGATGTAGAAATTAAGTTATTCCACTTTGCCTTCCTGCATGCACTTCCCACATGGTGTTGGCTCTGCTGGTTGGAGTAGCCTGACCTCTGCAGAGTCAGAGCTGAGCTGGAATCTTGCCTGTGCCACTTTCAAGCTATATGTTATTCTCGGCAAGTCTTTTTAACCCTTTCTGGAACTCAACCTCCTTATCTGTAAAACACACAGGGTTAGAGATGGCCTATATGGTGCGAAAGAATAAAAGGATGAAGCTTTTAAAAAATGCACCTATTTTAATACAATCCATTTTGTCTTTTCACCCTCCCATTTGTGAAAAGGGCAGCATCTTATTTCTGTAGATCCAAGGACTTTTGTCGTGCTTTGGAAATGTACTGTCTTTACCAAATGGAGGGATGGGTGATGGAGGAAAAATTAAGAAACAGAGAATGCAAGAAATGAAATGGTCCACTTTGTAGAGACTGAAGCATCCAGACTGTAGCATCAAAGGCTGAGTTTTACAGCGCCGCCCCCGGCTGGCTCTCTCACTCACCCCTAGCAGGAGTCCCTCTCAGCCTCCAGGCTCCATACGAAGCACCAGCTCAAGCTCCGCCTCCCCAGGGCTTTGACATCCTCAGGGTTGAGAGCAAATGAGTCAAGCTGCAAGGACATGAGGCAGCCTTGCTGGACTTTCTGAGGGACACAAGGGTGGTAACACAAGAATCCTGCCCTCCTGACCAGCCCATAGAGATCAACAGCATGATAAAGTGACTTGCACTCATTACAGACTTTGTGGGGCAATCACCAGCTTTCTAACACTTTGGAGGAGGGAGGTCAGGGGAGCCAGAACAGATATGCACAGGGAATACCAGCCATGCACAATGCTCCAAGAGCCGAGAAAGAAAGAGCACGTTACCTCTAGCAGTGACATTTGTGGCTGCATCATTCATTCATGCCTTCTTCTACCAGGACTCCAACTTCATTATTTTTTCTGCAAACAAAAATTTTGCTTTTCCATACAAATTTAGCAATAGCTTGTTACTTTCTATAAGAGAAAATAAAAGGTTGACATTTTTATAGAAATTATAGAACAGTATGGAAGTAACTGCCATCTTAACACTACTGAGCCTTCCAATCCAGGAATGTGAAGTTTAGCTAGGTTAGATCTCTGATTTCCCTCAGCAGCATTTGGTAATTTTCAGCGTATAATCTTGCACTTCTTTGTCACATGTATTCCTAAGTATTTTATCCTTTTTAATGATATTGTGAATGAGATTGTTTTCTTTCTTTTACCAAAAGTTACAAAGAAACAGGTGCACTAAGCAGAAATAGAGTCACAGATGTAGAGAACAAACATATTACTAAGGGGGAAGGGGGTGGGTGTGAGCCGGGAGATCGGGACTAACATATGTACACTCCTAAGTATGAAAGAGTTGACTAATGAGAACCTGCTGGGTAGCACAGTGTTCTGGGGTGACCTAAATGGAAGGAAATCTAAAAAAGAGCGGATAAATGAATATGTATGACTGATCCACCTTGCTGTACAACAAGAAACTGATGCAACGTTGTAAAGTAACTAAACTGCAATAAAAATTAATAGCAATAAAAAATTAAGACAAAGATTTTTGAAAAACATCTCGAAATTCTGCTTTAAAATGTAGGGATCTTCTCTAAAGCTATTTATTCAGCTTAACTATTTTTTGGCTCATATAATAAAGATGTTTTGACCATTTGCTTTAATGTATATGGATATGTGTTGTTTTTTGTGGGGGTGTTACTTTTAGGTTTAAAGGAATTTTATTTTTGAAAATAGTTTTGAACAGAACTATTCTAGGCCGTCAATATTATACAATTAATTTGTCAGCCAATAAATCAATTCTTTTTTTTAAAAGAATTAGAAAAAAAGAAGCAGGTGCCCTAGTATCTCTAACAGATGATGTAGGCGAACAGTGAAGAGAACAGAAGGGAAAAAAGAGAAAAAAAAAAAACAATAGCAAAACAGAATTTCAGAGACTTAGCGTCTAGAACCATTCAGGGAAGGGTGAACAACATCACACAACTCAGAAGACACTGGGTGTTAGCAGCCTGTGATAATTAGCCTCCCAAGAAAGAAAAAAATAATTAGGTTCAGTGACTGCTAGTCAAGAGAAATAAAGATACACATCGGTCTATCCACCTGACATGGTCATATTTTTAGAGTTTGACATTTGCTAGAATACATCGTTCTCTCCTAGAAGGCTCGTTCGCTTGGAGATGCTCCCTGAAGTATCACTGTCTTCTCTTTCCCCTGAATCCAGGGTCACCCCGGCAGCCGCCGGGGCCACCAGACTTTTTCCCAGTGGTCCCTGGGGTTCTGTGTATCATAGAACATTTTCAAGTTAATGTGCCTGATTCACTTAAGAAGATCACCTCCTGCCAACACTGAGGAGTCTGCTGAATCTGGGTGGAGGTCTGATGCTGCCTGTCTGTGTTCTCAACACAACACAACAGCCTGTGAGCCAGGCCCAGGGAGAAAATTATGCAAAGGAAATTAATACTGCAGAATGGCCTCCTATCTGAAGGGAGAAGAAAGCCCGCTGAAGCCATTAAAGTGAGTTAAGTGCTCAAAGACACAGCGCTGTCCCTACCCCTGGGGCAGGCTCTCTCTGTCTGCCAGCTTCCCAGCAGCTCGGATGGAACAGATGGGCAGGGCCCCCGGGAACAAGGAGGCCAGGGTGTGCAAGAAGCAAATGCCGGCCAGTCCTTTGCAGAGTTCCAGGGAGAAAGAGCCCCCGGGGTGGGGATGGAGAGGAGAGCCAGCTGTTCCACAAGGTCCAGGGACCCTGCAGCGTGACCCTGAGAGAGGCAGGTGATCGATGAAGGGGCCCCTCCTGTTTCCATTGGTGACATTCAGGGTATGAACAGGGTGTCGCTCTCTCCCGCTGTACTTCAGACCCCAGAGTGGAGGAGAGAGGGGGTGGGAAGGACAGAGAATGCATGTGAGCAACAAAGATGCCATGTCATCGCTGAGCCTCCAGGCAGGACTGGGCTACCCCCTGGCCCGGAGGTCCTTGGAGGATGCTTGTGCCTCCTCCCATCTCCTAGTTGTATCTGACCCCTGTCTCCCCAGGCCCGCTCTTACTCTCCGTTTCCCCTCTTTGACTTCTCACAGACATCCTTGTAGCAAACAGCTAGAGCAAGGACCAGGTCGCGGTGGTGGTTCACAGCAACCCATGTGAATCGCAGCCGCCCCCATCTCCATCCTGAAGAGCCACTCAGCCTGCCTGGCTAACCCGCAGCTGCTGAACCAGGTCCAGGCAGATCCAAGAGTGCTGACTCTGAGCTGCAGGCTCTGGTTTCCAACCCAGGGGGCTGCATGGGGCGGGTGGCCTGTGGGGTGGGGAAAGGGTGGGAGGAGGTGGGAACTACATGCTACTTTGCCTCTTAGGGAGCAGGAGGGGCCCAGGCCTGGGCAGGCCCAGATGCCTGCCCCTGCCCCCAACCCACATGCATCAGAGCACTGGCTGAGCCTTTATTTACTCCGCTGATCTAACATCAAGGGCTTCCCTTGTGGCTCAGCTGGTAAAGAATCCACCTGCAATTATTATGCAAAGGAAATTAATACTGCAGAATGGCCTCCTATCTGAAGGGAGAAGAAAGCCCGCTGAAGCCATTAAAGTGAGTTAAGTGCTCAAAGACACAGCGCTGTCCCTAGCCCTGGGGCAGGCTCTCTCTGTCTGCCAGCTTCCCAGCAGCTCGGATGGAACAGATGGGCAGGGCCCCCGGGAACAAGGAGGCCAGGGTGTGCAAGAAGCAAATGCCGGCCAGTCCTTTGCAGAGTTCCAGGGAGAAAGAGCCCCCGGGGTGGGGATGGAGAGGAGAGCCAGCTGTTCCACAAGGTCCAGGGACCCTGCAGCGTGACCCTGAGAGAGGCAGGTGATCGATGAAGGGGCCCCTCCTGTTTCCATTGGTGACATTCAGGGTATGAACAGGGTGTCGCTCTCTCCCGCTGTACTTCAGACCCCAGAGTGGAGGAGAGAGGGGGTGGGAAGGACAGAGAATGCATGTGAGCAACAAAGATGCCATGTCATCGCTGAGCCTCCAGGCAGGACTGGGCTACCCCCTGGCCCGGAGGTCCTTGGAGGATGCTTGTGCCTCCTCCCATCTCCTAGTTGTATCTGACCCCTGTCTCCCCAGGCCCGCTCTTACTCTCCGTTTCCCCTCTTTGACTTCTCACAGACATCCTTGTAGCAAACAGCTAGAGCAAGGACCAGGTCGCGGTGGTGGTTCACAGCAACCCATGTGAATCGCAGCCGCCCCCATCTCCATCCTGAAGAGCCACTCAGCCTGCCTGGCTAACCCGCAGCTGCTGAACCAGGTCCAGGCAGATCCAAGAGTGCTGACTCTGAGCTGCAGGCTCTGGTTTCCAACCCAGGGGGCTGCATGGGGCGGGTGGCCTGTGGGGTGGGGAAAGGGTGGGAGGAGGTGGGAACTACATGCTACTTTGCCTCTTAGGGAGCAGGAGGGGCCCAGGCCTGGGCGGGCCCAGATGCCTGCCCCTGCCCCCAACCCATATGCATCAGAGCACTGGCTGAGCCTTTATTTACTCCGCTGATCTAACATCAAGGGCTTCCCTTGTGGCTCAGCTGGTAAAGAATCCACCTGCAATACAGGAGACCTGGGTTTGATCCCTGGGTTGGGAAGACCCCCTGGAGAAGGGAAAGGCTACCCACTCCAGTATTCTGGCCTGGAGAATTCCATGGACTGTAGAGCCCATGAGGTGGCAAACAGTCGGACACGACTGGGCGACTTTCACTGACCTAATGTCAAGCCAGGGTCAGGAGAAGGCAAGAGTGTCAGAGAGTCAGTTCCTAGGCAGGTTGATAAGAAGTCTGGGGTCCCTGAGAAGGAGAAAGGGATCTGGGGCTCTCAAAGTGGAAATAGGGATCTGGAATTCTCAAGGAGGAGGAAAGGACAAACATCTTTTTTTTTTTTTCCTACATTTCTTAGTCTTAATCACATAAAACGTTTTTTTTCTTTAACCTGGAACTGATGATTACACAACAAACAATTCAGATTAAACTCTGTGCTAAGGATTATATAACAACAACGTATCCAGCTTGAGGACAGTTTCTCCTTCCTGAAAACCTTCTGGCTAATCCCATTATCTTAAAGTGTAAATTATGGGAGTGGATCTAGTAAGATCTTTACAACCTTGAGACATTCTTTTGATTTATTGTAAGAACTAATTATAAAAATATATGTAACTCCCTTGCTAAAGACTAGGGAGGGGGGCACTCTCCGTCCCCCTTCTGATGTCTGTGTCAGAAGCTTTCTCCTTCCTTTTCATACTTTAATAAAACTCTGCTACGCAAAAGCTCTTGAGTGATCAAGCCTGGTCCCTGGTCCTGAAGCTCAATCTTCTTCGGAGATCACGAATCAGACACCATTCACCATAAGCTATGAAGTGGATGCTGGTGCCCAGAACAGGAATCAGGGTCATCACAACCAGAAAGAGTCTAGATTCTCACCCAGAAGGCCTTAGACAAAAGCAGCAGCTCAAAACTGTTAGGCCTGCAAATAGGAAACCAAGCTGACAGGTAGAGAGGCTTCCTGAGTTAAGAAACTAGGGCTGCAGTCCCTGAGTTCGGAAGCATAGAAGGAGGGAACTGGTGAAAGCACAGAGTATTTGCTCTTAGACACCTGAGTGACTGACTAGTCAGGACCCAGGGCAGCAGAACCAGGCCTGAGAGGGGTGGGGCAGACGGAACACCAGCCCCGGGCATCTGTGGGAGAGCTAAATATGGGGATAGTACACAGAAGCACAGCTTGTGCCCTGCCAGACAGCCAGTCAGAGCTCTCCAAACAGCAGCTGTTTCAGTACCCGGGTAGAAACCTTCCCTGCTTCCAGCACTACAAAGGACTGAGTTGTTCCACCCGAGCGGGATCACCCCGCCAGTGACAGAACTTGTTTATGGCAGTAACTTTCAATATCATGCTTCAACTCAACACCTGTGGCTCTTACCATTAAAAAGAAACAAAACAGATAAATCACAAAGCCTGTGA